GACTTTCAATAAAAGAAAGAGCAGGTCCTTGTTTGAGAGCACAGTTCCAAGAGTATTCTGAAAGAACAGATGCCAAGAGCAGTTTGGGGCCCCTCCTAGCTAAGATGGGTGCTAAGAAGCAGGATGTCTTTATTTAAGCACTGCTGTAATGTAGCACTGCATAGTTAACACCACACTTAGGAATCATATTATTCTACTTAAAATAGTCTAATGGTTTATTGTCATTAAAATCAAATGCAAACTCCTTCCTATTACCTGCAAAGCTCCATGACCTGGACTGTGCATCTTTCCTACCTCATTTTATGTCCCCCAAGTCTACCTGTGCTCCAGCCCCAAATGGGCACAAATGCACACTGTCAGTTCTCTTTCAGATCCTTGTTTGCTTCCTTTATGACATTTTAAATTTCCTACTGTTTTCCTCAGAACCTGACAGAAGACCTAATCATTAGATTTTTGTTCATCAGCTGGATACATGAACAGATAAGGCAACAGATGTCATTGGAAAATGACCTTTCCCTGTAAAGAAGATGCCAGAAGATATTATTGAATGTCAAAATAGCTGGCTTCAGTTTCTAAATTCTGTGTTATGACTTACATACATAAACTGCTAAAAGAGGGTTGGGGATGTAGTTCAGTGGTCTAGTACTTGCCCAGCGTGTCTGAGTGAAGTCCGAGGTTTGATCCCCACCATTAAAGTAAAAACAGGGGCCTGTGAGATTGATCAACAGGTAAGCATTCTTGCCACTGAGCCTGAACACATGAGTTTGACCCCCAGAACCTACATGGTAGAAGGAGATAACCAACTCCCTCAAGCTGTTCTCTGACCTTTTCAGACACACACACAGAGTAAATAAATAAATGAATGTAAAAAAGGCAATAAGTTAAACAACAATGGCATAAAAACTGTTAGGAATAATATACAAAGGACAAGAGAATGGCTTCAAAAATGCCTCTCAGTTACTAATCCCGTATACGTTGTAGAATATTCATAAAATATGAATACTGAGATATTTACCTTTTTTTGGTCTTTTTGAGACAGGGTCTCCCTGCAACCCCAGCTGGCCTGGAACTCACTTTGTAGACCAGGCTAGCCTTGAATTCAGAGATCCACTTGCCTCTGCCTCCTGAGTGCTGGAATTAAAGGCGTGCACTACCACACCCAACTGAGATATTTACTTGTTGAAACTTCATTGATAATGATTAAATAATAATTAAACAAGCATTAACATAATGATATGCTTTCAAAAGAGGGCTGGGCTAGAGTCCTTAAGCAGTAGTTCAGTGGCTACCATATGATAATTATAATCATGGCCAACTTTATGCTGGCACTTTCTAAAGGCTTTCCTTGAATCTACTCACTGAACCTTAACAAGAAGGGTACTGACTTCACTGTCTAAGAGGAAACTCAGATAGCAAGAGGTTAAGTAACCAGCTCAGAAGTCACAAGGTAAGAGAGCTGGAATTTGACCCAAGGCTTCCCGTCTTCTATTTAACTTTATCTGTTTAGTCCTTCCAGATAAGCAATAAAGTGATGAAAGAATCCCAAGAACAAGAATCCCAAGAAACATCAAAATAATCTATTGAAAAGATAAGGAACATTAATAACTCTAACAATGATATGCAGATAAGCTGAAATATAATTATTCAAGGGTCTGACCTGCCTAATTTAAATACATCTAAAACTTTGCCTTTTAGATGACACAGAAAAGTACCTCCTGTTCATAATGGAGCATAATGTTTTAAAATAAGTTTTATGTGTTTATATATTACATAACTTCAGTTCAGGAAACCTTATCCAAAGTTACTCTCCCAGATAAAATAAGGAGTTTCTTGAGAAAACATATTCTAAGCAGGGCATGATGGTTCATGCCTCTAATCCCAGCGCTTGGCAGGCAGAGGCAGATGGATCTTGGTGAGTTCAAAGCCAGCCTGGTCTACTTAGGAGTTCTAGGCTAGCCAGTGCTGTATAGTGAGACTCTGTCTCAAAAAAATAAAAAAGTTTACTCTAGCTGGATGTGGTGGTACACATCTTTAATCCCAGCACTCAGGAGGCAGAGGCAAGCAGATCTCTATAAATATGAGGGCATCCTGGTCTACATGGAGAGTTCCAAGCCAGTCAGGGCTACATAGAATATCCTTACTCCCCAAAAAGCTTACTCTGGGTGTTAGGGATACCCCTAACCAGTAGTTTGGCCCAGTAAGCCTGGAACTTCCTACACAGCCCAGACTGGCTTCGAACTCAATATTCTCCTACCTCAAGGTCTCCCCTCCCTGGCTTTCACGGTGGCTTTCATTAAACGTTTTGGTTTCTCTATAATCTACAAGATTAAAGAAGCTAACAAGGGGGCAGAATCACATACACACACAGACACACACAGACAAAGAAAATAGTTTCGTGGAAAATCGGAAAATATTATCAAAGCTTATCAAGATGCTTGAGGGCAACTTCAGTAGAATGGAAAAAACAGTTAGGATTCAAGTAAGTCTAGTCAAGGTTTGGCATTACCCTTGCTAGAGAACCTCAGGTCAGTCAATTACTGATTATTCCTAGGCCCTAATTTTCTCCTTTATTAATTAAATAAGAAGCTACTATGTGTTTCCAGGAGTTCCTTCTAATTCTAAATACTGGTTTCAGTGAATAGTCTCCACTACCACCACCCATCCCTGTCCCTGTCCCTGTTTGTAGAGTCAGGGTCTCACTACATAGCAACGGCTATCCTGGACCTCACTAGGTAGACCAGGCTGGCCTTGAACTCAAAGATCCACAGCCTCTTCCTGGGACTAAATAAAGGCATGCACCACCACACCTGGCTAAATAATGCTTCTTGATGTAAGTAAGGTAAGCTACTTCTAACTTAGTTACTATGTAAACACCAAAAATTTCAGGTTTTTTCTTCACTTTGAAATTCTCAGCTGACAAATGATGACCAAGAAATGTCAGATTCAAACTTTCAAAAGCAAAACTATATTCATCTTCTAGTCAGTTATTAACAAAGGTGATGAATTCAATGGATCAGAGTATCCAGCCACTCTTGGCTAACTTTGTGTTCAAAAGTAGGGCAAAGGCCGTCTCATAAATATGGGTGATAATATTTTCAGATTAATAGACATGACAGAAATCAAATTATAAAATGATACAAAATAACAGTATTCTACACTGATATTTTTCCAGCTGAGTAAAAAGTACCATACTTTGATTCATATACAGTAACTTCACATGTATTATCACACTAAACATGTGGAATGCCAGTTAACTTGCCAGTCATTACTCAGTAAGTGTTGGAGGCCAGACTTCAATCTAGGTCATCTGATTTAAAATTTAATTATCTTCAAAATTCTAAAAAGCAGGACTTTAAGCCAAAGTTAGGAAGAAGCTGGAAAACTAAAAAAACCCTAAACAACCAACCCTGGATCATCAGTGCCTTAGATAACTGAACAAAAAGGATGTAATTTAGCAATTACATAAACAAGTAAATTAACTGAATATTAAACTATTGATAGGCCAAACTTGTAATTCCATTTGTCAAAAAGCTTGTCACCCCATTTCAAAGACAAGTGTAAAAAAGAAAAAAAATATGTGAACTAAACAACAACTGATTAAAACAGTAATACATATGCTGGTAAATGGCATCAAACCATTTGCTAAAATAGTGCAGAAATGTGTTCATATGTGTATTACAAATGTATTCAAGAGGGCTCTAACTCTAAAAAATACATCTGTTTAAAATAATGTAATTAAAGAGGAGAAATTTCCACTTTAGAATCACTTCATCCCTACTCAAACAGGTCATACTTCTCTGGGTACCACCATCTTTCTTCCAGAGGTTATTAAGCCAGGTGTGGTGGCGCACACCTTTAATCCCAGCAGTTGGGAGGCAGAGGCAGGAGGATCTTTGTGAGTTCAAGGCCAGCCTGCTCTTCATAGTGAGTTCAAGTAAGCTGGGACTACAGAGAGATCCTGTCTCAAAAAAAAAAAAGCAAAACCTTGCATGCTTCCTTAGTAAATAATAGTTTCCCCTCATCTTCTATACTAGGAAAACACAACTGAAAATCAGACCTATGACAACATAACTCATAGGTAGTAAAAGCTGGAATATGAAATTATGAATAGTTTCTACAAGCGATCAGTTACAAAATGTCAAGAACTTAAAAAGACATTAAAGTCAGGATAAGAAGCAACGTTGCCAAGATACATAGAACAGTGCCAATACAGATATTATTAGATTTTTTTTGATGGAATAGTAGAAAAGTAAAAGATGACTGTGTAAAATCTACTAGAGGTCATAAGTAATCCAGAAGCATGACATAGGCCACAAACGTTTTTTTCAGACTGTAAAGCTTAAATCGATCTTCAAGTTTTACTGCAAGTACTTCCACTATAATGAAATACAAGCGTTGGGTGACCAAGGGTTTGGAAAGGGTAGAGAACCCTGTTTTTCATGACAGCAAGGGGAAGATCCAGGTCCACAGCAAGGGGTCTACGAGATGAAGGCCCATTCCCCTGACCGACCACTCTGGACCGCACGGGATTTGGACAGCACTTGCACAATTTTGTGGAGACACATTTAGCATCCTGCCGCTGGGAGCTGGAGAGGAAAATGATGAAACGGAAAGGTCCTGAGAAACAGCTCGGTCACCAGCAGTGACAACATGCCTTCATTTACCCCAAGGTCCTGGACATCCTAAGGTTCTGGACACCCCGGTCCTGGACACCCCAAGGTCCTGAGCACCCCAGTCCTGGACACCCCAGAAGGAGAGCTCTTGGTAGACGCCGAGGACGGCTTCCAGCGGTGTCCGGGTTCAACCCCGGTAACCAACCGTGGACAGGTGTCCCAAATAACCCGGCTACGCCGGGCTGACACAGCCAGTCAGCTGTGACCTGAGACGCTTAAGTGGAAACCAGCGTGCCCGGGTCTGCAGCCCGAGCGCCGGAGCCGGAGGAAGCCGAGATCTGCGGACAGCCCTGCCTTCCGCCCGGGGCCCCGGCTCTCCTGACTTACCCGCTCAGACTCGGGCTTCTGGATCGCAGGATCCTGTAAGCGGCTCCCGACCAATTCTCACACCCGCCGCTGGGCTCCAGCCAACCGGAACTCGTTCACGTCACTTCCGGTCCCCCCCCCCCACCGAGACTGCCTCCTAAAGAGAAACGTTCCGCCCTTCTTTCCGCAAACCGGGGTGATCCTCGCGGGATTTCAGTTCGGTTTTCTCTGTTCAGGTCCTGTGGGTGGTGACAAGGAGAAAGATGACTGTTCGCTCCGTAGTTCCTGATCCGGAACTGGTTATTCAGGAAACCCGGAAGGAGTAGTTGGCGCGCGCGAAGCGTGGTCCCCTCCCTGGAGTGGAGTACAAGAAAGCGTGAGTTGTGAGCGATGCTTCAGGTAAGTCGCGATTCCTTCCAGGGCGAACGAGAGGGACTCAGTTCTCCATCTCTTTACTGGAACGTGGCTGCTTCTCATCCCATAATCCGCCTCCTTTTGTCTTCTTGATAAACTGTCTTCCGCCTGATGGCTGCTGGATGCCTTGCCTGATCTGCAAACCATCCTTTATAAGAAACTAAAGTGCTGGGAAACGATAGGACGCACAGTTTCTAGTCTCCAGCAAAACCGCATCAGGCAGTGTTGAAACATTGTCCGAGCCTGAGAAGATGGCGAGCAGGCCTCGCAATCTATGACTATTGAATATCCACTTAGGGTTGTCGAACCCTGCTTCCAAAGGGATTCTCGGGATGTGTTAAAAATTATTATTTATTTTTGTATGTGTTTATTTATTGGTACCGGAGTTTGAACCCAGGGCCTCGCACATGCTGTGTAAGTGCTCCACCGCTGAGCTGTATCCTCAGCTTCTTTTTCTTTTTTTTTTTTAGCTTTCAGTTTTGAGACAGTCTCACTAAGTTGCCCAGGGTGGTCTTGAACTTGGGATACTCCTCCCTTAACCACCTCCCTCGAAGATTGGAGTTAGCGAATTTAATTTTGGAAGCTTTTGGCAAGAGATACAGTTCTGTAAATACAAATAGTGGAGATAGGTTACAGTAGATAAATACAACAGATTTGCTAACTGATGCTAGCAGGCCATAGGAGAAAAAGTACAAGTTTTCCTAAAAATAAGAGTACAAAGAAAGTTTGAACGCACAAGGTTTGATGCCTAGCTAAAGAACCCAGTCTAAACAAAAATAAAGAACACTTGATAGACCTGAGTGTTGAAATCCAGCAGAAACTAAAGGTCCAAGTTTGAAGCCAAAGAGAAGTTTAAAAGTCCTGTGCACAAGTTCATTTTAGGAATAAATGAGATTGCTCACCTTGAGGCAGGTCAAAAATTATGGGGACACAAGAAAGGGGAAGAGCCCCTCATCCTGGAGTCTGGTTGAAGCCTCTCCCCTGCAGAGAAGCAAGAATTTCAGCACAGTTAACTGTTTAAGACCTTTCCCACCTATAAACCTGCAACCTCACAAGAAACCCCATTTACAGGGAAAGGATGTGTTCTAAGCCCATTGTGCAACTCTAGTGGCTCTTAATTTTACATTACCAGATTATAATTACATCTAAGGCACCTCTGGAGCCACGCTGTAATCTCATTTCTCAAAAGAAGAAAGGGAAAAAAAAGTTTAAAAATGTAATTTGAGGGGCCGGAGAGATGGCTCAGTGATTAAGAACACTGGTTGTTCTTGCAGAAGACCGAGGTTCGAATCCCAACGCCCACATGGCAACTAACAACTGTTCATAACTCCAGTCCCAGGGGATCTGACAGCCTCTTCTGATCTCTGCGGGCATTGCATGCAGGCAATACACACATACACATAAAAAAATAGCCGGGCGTGGTGGCGCATGCCTGTAGTCCCAGCACTTGGGAGGCAGAGGCAGGCAGATCTCTGTGAGTTCAAGGCCAGCCTGGTCTACATAGTGAGTTCCAGGACAGCTGGGGCTTACAGGGAGACCCTGCTTCAAAAAGACCAAAAATAAATAAATAATACATATATAATTTGAGAACCACCAAAATGGTATATATGGATAATGCTAAGTTCTTTGTGACTCCCTTGAGGAACCCTATCCATGCTTGGATATGTCTTGTTTTCTGTTGTTTTCCTCTGGGAAGGCATTCTGTATGACCAACTTTTTGAGTGCCTCTTCTTTTTCCTAATCCCTACACTTAGAGTCTATGTATATTATCTTTAATAAAATTTCCAACTCTGCTTCATACTGCCTTGTCCTGAAATTCTCTTCTGTATTGAAACCAGGAATCCAGACTTGGCTTGAGTCCAGGTTCCTAAAAGATTAAGGGTCTTCCTCAGGCTGCTGAGGGTGACTGTATAAAGCAACTGTGACTGTCCCCTCATTGTCTGAAAAACTCAACTGCCTAATTCCTCTGGCTACAATGTTAACTCCATGAATGGGTCTTTGTTTTTTTCAATACTCTTATCTAGAATTGTATGTTGAGGACAGTAAGTCCTCAGGGAATGCTGGTTAATTAGAAAAGAATGGAAAGGGAACCTATAGACCTTATTGAGATATAGGGCTTAAGCAGTAAACCTAGAAGTTTTTGGAGTCTCCACCCTTTTCCATGATTATTACTGGTGCGTGTGTTTTCGATGACACTGAGAAGATGAGATGCTTTATTATGGCTGTTGAATAGTCCTGTTTTATAGTTCTGCCACTTACTGTGTTACTTTCGATATGTATCTTCTCTGATCCTCATTTTTCTTAGCTTGAGGGCTGTGTCTTTTTTTTTTTTTTTTGGTCTTTTTGAAGCAGGGTCTCCCTGTAGCCCCAGCTGTCCTGGAACTCACTATGTAGACCAGGCTGGCCTTGAACTCACAGAGATCCACCTGCCTCTGCCTCCACATCCTGGGACTAAAGGCGTGCGCCACCATGCCCTGCGTCACCATCTTCCTTATAACTCCAGCAGCACCACCCGTGTGTAGATGTATGCCTGAGAAAATAAGTCATGCTCAAAACAGTCCTGCATCTGTGGGTCAGGGTCTTTTTATGATAAAGTCACTCACTTTGAGAGCTACTACTTCCATCATCATAATAATCATGTGGACAATCAAAGAGTACATAGACTCCACACACTTGTAATTACAAGTTGGTTTGGATTTATATAGATGGCTGAACCAGCTAAGATTTCTACTATAAACTTTGTCCTGTTTTTGAACTTTATAGTTCATGTACCTACCTGATCTATAGTCATCTTTGTGGTATGTATTTCTTCAGTGAGTGAGAACTGTAATTGAGGGCTGAGAATGTAGGTCATTTGGTAGAGTACTTGCCTAACATGCATGAAGCCTAGAGGGTTCGATCCCCAATACCACATAAAACCATACATAGTTGTACAAGCCTGTAATCCCAGAACTTGGGAGATGGAGGCAGGAGAATTAGGAATTCATAATCACTTTTGGCTTTCTAAGGAGTTAAAGGCCAGCCTGCCCTGTGTAAGATGCCCCTCCAAAGACAAAGCAGCAACGACAACAAAAACAACAAACAAAAAACTGTAGTTGGAGGCCAATTGTTGTGGCATATGTCTATAATCCCAGCACTCCAGGAGGTTGGGGCTGAGGCAGGAGTATTACGAGTTCGAAGCCAGCCTGGGCTACATAGCGAGATCCTGTCTCAAAGAAAAAACCCTATAAGCAATTTCACATAGCTTAACTCAAAATCATCTTCAAACTGCTTCCCATAGGAATAATATCAAGTGGGGGTTTCAATGTTATAACCAATCTATTTGATTGTCAATGTCTATATGTTTTAGTAGCTTTAGCTGGGCCTGGTGGTGGGCTTTTGATCCCAGCTACTTGGGAAGCAGAGGTAGAAAGATCATAAGTTCAAAGCTAGCCTGAACAATTTAGTGAGAGCTTGTTTCATAATAAAAGGTAAAAAGAGGGCTGGGGATAAAATTTAGTGGTAAAGCATTTGCCTAGCATGTGTGAGGCCCTGGTTTCAATCCACATTGCCTCCTTTTCTTTTTTTTTTTCCTTTTTTTCTTTTTTTTTGCTTCTATAATATTTTACCTAGTTACTTAGTGAGGTCTGTCTGTAATCCCCTTCATGAGAAATTGCAAGGCACAGTGCTACATGGTGAGATTTTCATACCAAAGCACTATTCACAGTAGAGTATGGGATAATCAAGTGGAGGCCTTTCAACCTTTGTTACCCTTCAGGTTTATTATTTTCCATTTCTAATTCAATTTTGAACATTAATTATACAAATTGGTAGGAATCATCTTGTTTATGCGTGCATACATTTTGCACCGATCATCCCCATGTACCTTTCTGTCCTCTCCCTTCCAGCACTCTGCCCAGTCCCCTGAAGTCCCTCTTCCCCTTCTCTCCCTAATGACTACTGTTCATTCCCTACTTCTGAGCCTTGACTTGTTGATTTCCACAAGTGAAGAGTATATGTGGTAGTTGTCTTCTGAGTCTGACTTGTTAATCAGTGTGATTGCTTGTTGTATCCAAGGTGTTTCAGATGACAGATTTCATTTTTTATAACTGGGTGGTGTTCCATTGTATAAATACGCCACATTTTCTTCATCCATTTGAAGGGCCTCTGCTTGACTGTGCCATACTCTACTGTGAATAGTGCTTTTGGTATAAAACTCGTCTTGTGTGGGTGTATGCCAAGTAATGGAATTGCTAGGTCATGTCATAGTTCTATTTTTAGTTGTTTTTTTTTTAAAGAAATCTCCATATTTTCATGGTGGCCATACTAATTTACATTCCCACCTACAATGGAGAATTCTTTCTCTGCATCCTTACCAGCATTAACTTATTGTTTTTATAACATTTTAAAAAATGTGTGTGTTACCCTGCATGGTTGTGCACTTAAGCAGGCGGCTCTCTGAGTTCGAGGCCAGACTGGTCTGCATAGTGAGTTCCAAGCCAGCTGGGGCTACAGGGAGACCCTGTCTCAAAGGGAAGAAAAAAAAGAAAAAAAAAAAAAAAAAAAAAAAAAAAAAAAAAAAAAGGGTGTATGAGATGAAGGGACACACCTATGTGGAGGTCAGGGGACACTTTGTGGAATCAGTTCTCTCCTTCCACCTCTATGTGTGTTTTGAGGATGAACTCAATCATCAGGCTTACACAGAAAGTGCCTTTACCCTCTGAGCCATCTCACCAGCCCCCTCTTGTATTTGTTTGATGATAATCATCCTAACTGGGGTGACATGATAGCTCTCACTGTAGTTTTGATTTCTGTTTCTCTAATGATTAATAAAATTTAACATTTTTCATGGTTTTTCTTGGGCCTTTGTGTTTCTGAAGAAGTATCTGTTTAGTTCTTTAGCCCATTAAAAACATTTTTTTTTCACTGTTAACATTTTTATGTGTGAGGGTTATGCTCATGTAATGTTGCATGTATGGAGGTCAGAGGACAACTTGCAGTTCTCT